AAATGAAAATATATTTTTATTGACTAGTGCCTGAAGATGTCAAAAGTGTCTATGATTTATTAAAAAGTAGTGCTGAAATGCATTTAGTTTATATATATAAAGATGTATAAATATTTTTCTTTTTTGTTCTCCTTTCAAATCTTTTCAAAATGTGTATGAATTTTTTTCTCAATTTTTTACTTTTTCATATTCAAAACTGTTAAAAATGTTTTCCTTTTTTTTAATTGGTTTTTTGTTTTTTTTTTTTTTTATTTTCCTTCTTTGTAAAAGTTTGCAATTTAGCGCTAGAAGATTTTTGTTTTTAGAAGATTTCAAATTCAGTTCTACATGATTTTTTTCCAAAAAATTTCTCTGTTATTTTTATTCTTTTTGTTTTTGTTAATTGTTACTATTATTTGAGTCTACGACCAGCTTGATTCCATATTATTTAGTACTATAAAGAGATGTGAGAGAAATCTCTAAAAAAAGAGTACATTTTCTTATAAGCAAAATGATAAAATCAAATTAAGCACATTATATACTATTATATAATATCCTTGCCAAATAAGAACATAATTTGATAAAATCAAAAATACATGTGTGAAGAGGCAAATGCACTTTGCTATCAACAATTCCGTAAAAAATACCCCAAGTCAAGGCGAGAACGAATTTGTTTGAAGCACAATTTAATTGTATTTATTCTCAGAGTCGATCTTGAATTTTTTCAATCCATTTACCCCAATAAAACGAAATTGAGACATCGTTATTACGCTCCCTTTTTTTCATTTCCAGCTCGTCTTCTTATTGAAATGTTGCTAGGAAATGATTAGTTGGAGAAAATTCTCTATGTAGATACCTTTCATTTTGTCAAAACATTTGCACCGCCCACGAGGGAGCTTCACAGGCCCCACAAGGACTATATATAAACTTCCGAAGCAATTTGAGCTTGTCTATCTATTTGTCTCTTCGTCTGTGTGATGTCTATTGTGAACATTCTTCAGGACGTAAAAATGAAGCTATTGACTTTAAATTTGGCAAATACATTGGAAGTTCTTGCAAGCACATTGGTATTGAAATTGTGGCAAAGTGGTGGAAGGACACACTTACAGTACCAGGTGAACTGAGAGAGTCTTTGTTGTTGTACAGCAGATAACTGTACAAAAATTTGAACGCGTATTCTACGGGCGCCGCTGTAGCGCCTGTAGCGAAAATGAAGAAAATTGACCACGCCTATCCATTATTATAGTGAATCAAAAAAAGCTCCATAAAATACATAAAGTCCTGGCCACGTTCAAATTTTTAATTCACATAACGGTGTCCGTACTATGCAGTGTCTGTGCTAAGCTTTTCCTCATCCGCAAAAGTAAACATATCGCCAATGAATTTACAAAAGAATTTTAAAATGAAATTGATAAAACAAAGCGTTTTGCTTGCAATAAGACATATTGCAGCGCACGATTAACGCGAAATGTTGCCGCAACGAAACTGTTACAAAACTGGAAAGGCTTACAAGATTAAGTGCAGCAACATGCGTCGAAAAAGAATTAACGAAAAATATTTATTGATAATCAAGCAAAAACTATATATATATATATATATATATATATATTACATTTATGAAAATGAGTGTTTGTCTGCCTGTGTGTGTGTGTGTGTGCGCGTGTGTATACGCAAATATAATTAGATAATATTTGTTTCCATCTCCTTTGTAAAATTTATTTGAGGACTTAGTGTTTTTTTCCCAACACATATACCGTGGAATTAGAATCCTTTGTTTTGTACACATAATATAAATGTTTGCCATCTTACTGTTATATAGTTATATATATATATATTTATATAATATTTTGTTTTCAATAATGTTTCTCTTTCCAGCCAATGTTTTGCTAAATATTATTAAGTAATTTTATTTTCTCGATTTTCGTACATTTTGGGATTGAAAAATTAAAAAACTTAAATAACTAAATAAATAAATGATAGTTAAATTTAATCTTGAAAAGCAATAAAAATTAGAGATATTGTAATCGACTTGGGCCCGACACTTTTCAATATCCATTATATTTTCGCCGGAAACGCAACATTCTATGTAATAAGTGTTTCATTGCATAACGGTAGCAAGCGTAATAGGCTTCGTATATGCCGTATTATTATATAAGAGGATAACACATTCAAAATATAAAATCATTATATAAGCTTTAAGTAATTTATTTAACGTATAGTTAAACTAATTAACACACATAAAAAATACACCTAATAATTATAATAGAAAATTTGTACATAAATAGTTTCACTAAATAACTTTTAATATTCAAATATATTTGCTGATTATGAACGGACCTATGGACTGATTACTTTAACTGTTAATAATGACTAGCAATAACGAAGTTTTGCTGCTTTCAATATTTTTTTATTATCTTCTTTAGAGAGGGAAGTAAGAAGAAACCTTTTAATGAAGGATAAAATAAAACTTTTTTCTTAGCAAATAAAATTTAATAAATTAAACAATAATATTTTTTAATTGTTTATTTAAATCGAATGTTTATTACTTAACTTAAAAACTTTAAAAATAAATTGTGAAAATGGCTGTTAATGTTATTGTTGTTGTTGTTGTTGTCGTTGTTATGTGATGTTTTTTCAATTTTTTATTTTGGTCTTAATCATTATAATATCACAAATTATTGTAAAAAAAAACTTTACGATGAAATTAAGGCATTTCTTTTTTAAATTATTTTTTATATTTATTTAAAATTTTTTTTTTTTAACATTTAAGTAAAAAGAAAATTTATTAAGAAAAACATGGAGGCATTGCAATGGTTTGCAATATTGTAAGAACACTTTGATCGCAGCAACATTTCCAGGCTGGGCAAGGTAATATGTATTGGAAACATGACGAATGCATGTATCCTATGAAACGTTAAAGCAAGTTGTAGCCATACATATATATATATATATATTATTTATTTATATTGAATACTTATAGTCATTATTCCTCTCGGCACATGGCTGCAATTTGCTTTAGCCATTTGCAGTCAAGACTACGTTACTACGTAACAAGAGCTTATGGAGCTTTTATTTTGATCGAAGGCATTCTTAATGATTTCATATCTCTTGCTTTCATATCTCTGATAAATATAGTGTATTCCACGATTCATCTAAGGTAGTGCGGAATGTTGACTTAATTACATCATCTAAGAGAAATTTTTGAAAAAATTTACGGAAACAGCTTCAATTAAAGTGAACGATCTCTGGCTGGATACTCGGTCCGTTTTTCGATATCAAAGCTATTTGTGAGAGTATTGCTGATAGTTCAGGGACATTACCTTAGTAACATGTTTAAGGACTTTTCGAGAAGCTGTCTATAGCGTAGTCTCACAGCGTAATACAATGTTCAATTGACTGAACAAGTGAAGCTTACTGACCATGTCGAGCAGCAATTGTTCGTTTGTTCGGTGAAAAGAAGTGAACGCTGATTTTTCGAATAAAATTAAATTACGTATATGCCACCGAAGCCCTGGAGGCTATTTAGTCATTATACCATATCCTACATTACCTCCTATTTTTTATATAATTTGTGAGACAAAAAAAGTTGGAAAAATGTACGATTTTTAATTGTAAACCTGTGTATGCTTTTTATTAAACTTATATCTTAAGTGAACTTTTTTCAGAGCAACTTGGTTTTATAAAAGTTCCTTTCAAAAGTCAAAACAGAAATTTGACTACAACGAGATGAGTTTCCGCTCAAACAAAACTCGAAAAAAAAATTTTTTTTTTTTCTTTATAACACATAGTTTTGTTGTGGATACACGTAGTTCCCACAATCGATAAAAACATTTTTTTGTTTTTCAGTGAGTTGTTTTGTTTATAGTAAACATTTTTGACGAAAATTTTAACTAAAATATTTCATTGGTATAAATATTTTAAATTTATTTATCGTTGTAAACTTGCTCTGTGAAATGTATCTATCTTATCTTGTTGCAGATGAAATGCTTTATTTTCCACATTTATGCTTTCCTAAGATAAGCTATTCTAATTCGGCCAAATACTTTTCTTAATCGAAAGCTGGAAATGTTGCCGCAAAGAAAATACTTTATCGTCTTAATTTGTGCTACGATCGTACCTATTAGTTAATATTTTCTGATAAAGTATTTGTATGATAAATTCGAAAATCATATTTTCATCCTAAGCGCAGACAAGGTCACAATTCATTAAGTGCCCTGAACAGTGTCTTTCTCACTTGCCGTCACGCTTCTACTACTTCATTCAAACCATTGTCAATTTACTCTTCCTTTAAATATATAAATATATATTTTACATAGAATAAGTTTTAAAAAAAAAAAAAAAAAAAACTAAAATTTTCCCTACTTAAACTTAATGATAATTTTATTAAAAAAAAAAAAAAAAAAAAAAAAAAAAATAAAATTTTCCCTAATTAAAATTAATTATAATTTTATTAAAAAAAAAAAAAAAAAAAAAATAATAATACTAATAATAATATGATTAATGAAGAGGAAAATTAAGTAGAACAATTATACATAAGGAAGAGAGAAAAAACCAAAAATATCATTGCTCGCCATATGTTGTTTTAATTAATTAATGTCAAATAATTCTAAAAATATATATAAATTTTTTCTTTTGTTTTTATTTTTTCAATGCATTTTTATGAGCTTATGTAAATGAGGTGTTTATCTTGGCTAACTAAATAAAGCAAAAAATTAATTATTTTACCATAACCTAATTTATGCAAAATAAATAAATAAATGTATATGCAACTGTATATGCTCTCTCGCTCTGGCAATTCAGTAATTGGTTCGCTATTATTATTATTTAAAAAAAAAGAAAAAAAAGCGAAAATATTTAAAAATATAAAATACATTTTTTTTAAGTTTTTCTTTTTTTATTCTATTTTATGTTTCTTTTTTTAGGTCTTTCATTCTCTCTTTCTTTCTTCCTGTCTAAACTCAAATTGTTTGCATTTTATTCATTTCTTTTTTTTTATTTATTTTTTTCTTTTTATATTATCATTATTATTATTATTTCAACTGTGTAAAACCAAAAATTTAATGGAATTTCTTTTCATTTAACAATCTTCCAGCGCTTGCGTTTTGTCATACGAAATCCAATTCGGAACGTGACTTGTAAATTTTACGTTCCATGGTACGTTCAAACCATTTTTTAATTTCGGCGACTATTAGCACTGAGGAGGTTAGCGAGAGCAGAAACAATATATCGTAAGCTGATAGCGATTCTGTTTGAAAGACCATTTGGAGTGGTGGAAAATAAATAACCAGCATTTGACCAATAATTGAGAAGGCTACTGCGAAAAGGAACATCCGATTCGAGGTTAGACCAATGGTGAAAACACTTTTGGTTTGTGATCGGCAGGAGAGAGCGTTAAACATATCGAAGAATACGAAACACGTAAAAGTCATTGTTGTATCGCGTTTAGTTTTGCCCAAAGATCCATCAACCATTTCTCTCTGAAATACCCACAACGTGCCCAAAATGATAATGCTGGCACTTAGCAAAACGTTCACGATTACCGATCTGGTAATCATCGGTTGTTTAACGTTGCGAGGTTTCTGCTTTAAAACATCATGATCGACCGGTTCAACTCCCAAACTTTGAGCCGGCGGCCCGTCCATTATAATGTTAATCCATAATATTTGCATAGCATTTAAAGGATTGGCTATGCCCATAAGAGTGGCCAAGGCAATCAAAGACAAAGCGGCAATCGAAGTACTCAACTGAAATCTTACGAAATTTCTTATATTATAAAATATAGCCTTGCCCTCCTCTATAGCGGCGCTGTGTAAAGTAAAAACACAAGCAATTAATAAAATTACCATCAAGTTTTGAAAATATATGGCATATTACTTACATTATGGTATGGAAATCATCAGTTACCAATATCATGTCGGCAGCCTCTTTACACACGTCCGTACCATTTTTACCCATAGCAATGCCTATGTCGGCCTTTTTCAAAGCTACGCCATCGTTTACACCGTCGCCTGTCATGCCAACAATATTGCCAGTGCGTTGCAAAGACTTGACTATAGCCAATTTATGACGTGGCGTTACACGATAAAAAACACTTACGTTATTTGCCACTTTATCCAATTGGTGTTCATTCATTTGATCGATTTCTTGGCCAGACAATGTTTGATGATGTATTGTATCGATGCCAATAAGGCTGGCTGTCGATACAAAAATTGCGAAGCGAGGAAAGTGAAAGAAATAGAGAGAGAGAGAGAGAGAGAGAGAGAAAGAGAGAGAGGGGGGGGGAGAGATAAAAGGAAAATTAAAAAACTTCAAGAAAATTTGATAATTTGATTATGTATTAACATACACTTGATTAAAAAATCAAGAAAGTTTTGTATAAAATACGATAAAACAATTATTGCATCAATGCGGAAATCGATAGAAAATATACAATAAATCTTGATTGTGTGATGTCACGAAGCTGTTGAATGTTGGAATTACCGTCGATTTGTAAAGAAATTAAAAAGGAATTAATTTGATCCATGTCATGAGTGCCATCATTATTAACCGATTGTATCTTTGATGAATTATTGTTTCGTAAGGAATTGCGCAAAGTGTGTGTGTTCAACTTTCCCTCTAAAATTATTCGATAATGTTGACACTCCCTAATAACACTGGTCGATAATTTTAATAAACAAACACTTGGAATGAATGACTAAATCAACCTAGAATTTTCCATTGATCAAGTATAAAAATATTAAAACGCTCTGAATAGTTTGAATAGATCCGGGTGTTACAAGCGGAACGATAAAACAAAACAAAATGCATAGATCAGTAGGTCATTGTATTGTGTTCGCAGTAATTATCACAGATCAAATGTTTCAAGATCGATTATGAACGCTCATTAGAGGTAACAGCCATTAATCAAAACAGTGACGAAGAGCATTTGGAAGATCAATTAAAGTATTTGTAAATCGAAATCATCGCCAGCAACTTGAAATAGACATGTATTGAGGATCCTAAAACATATTGAGTCCTTACAATTCTATTATTTAATTCATAGTCGAAGCTCCCTGGCATGTTGTAGGCTAATAGCAGGCTAATAATAGATATTACTTTGTTAGACTAAGTGTTCAGTGCTTGAAATTCGCGAAAATAGATTATTAAGAAGGTGAGAAGGTAAAAGCGCAGCAGTTCTGCTCTCCGATTTCTCTGTCTCTTTAAACTCATATAGCCCCGAGAAGTGCAAATAACTACATTATATACATATACAGTTTTATGATATGTACGGCTGCCTTTATTCATAAATATTTATTTGCCTTTATTTGTTTAATGTGGGTGTTTGTGCATGTTCAATGCAACAACAATTAAATAATTTCCTATCGATGTAAAGTATTGTCATGGAAAACTATTAATAACAATGAAAAGCTGTTCAAATATTGACTTTTTTACGATTATGAATGCAGAAAATAAATTTTAACTATGAATAATAGAAGAATAGCATAATTAATAAAATATCAATTACGCAATGGAACATGGATGTTGTCTATTTATTGTAACAGAAGCAAAAGCATTTTTACATCCATTGCTGCAGAATGGGCCCGTAAAGTATTTACATTTTTGATCAGCATCAAATGTTGAATCGGTTTAAGCATGTCCGTCTGTCCGTCTATTATAAACGCTCTCCTGGCCGCAAAAAAGAAGCTATCGACGTTAGGTTTGGCAGAAACATTGGAAGTTCCTGCACGCAGATTATCATTGAAAATGCCCCAAATCGGTCAAGGAACGTGCCTACAGTGGCACTTAAGCTAAGAACATGTCTGTTTTTCAAAAGTAATAATTAATTGAATTTTTGCTTATTACTCATATACTACTACCGCAGATAAATCTGCAAAAATTTAATTTTGTATTCAATGGGCGATGTTGTACCGCGTGTACAGAAAAGGGAAATATTTACCACACTTACCCAATATTATAGTAAATCAAAATTTAGTTTTTTTGCAATACCCTTATAGGGCGCAGACACAAGCTTCAATAACTCCCTAAAGTATGTAAACTCGCGGCCAGGTGCAACTTCGGATGGCGTCTAGGCTTGTATGCCGTATGTCCAGCTGTGGTAAACTTTTCTCCCGAAGAAATTCGAATTGATCCAAACTTTTTAAAAGACACGCCCACAACGCCTTTGCACGGCCTTTTGACAAAAACTGAGAACACTTTTGATTCCCCTCTTTTTTACGTATAAAGTGCAACACATATATTATATAAGTTTTCAGTTTTATTCTGAAAGTAGGAAAAATCTGCCGCGTCCAGTCAATATTATAGAGTATGAAAATTTTGATCTGTTCCTTTGTTTGATATAAAAGATTTGATCGCGACCGAGAATCATTTTCTTGCTTGTTTGATAATTGAACGATAAGAGTACAAAAGGACAAATTCTGTCGAAGGACAGGTATCAAGTGGAAGATAGTCGGTAAAATCTACTTCGACTTTAAGACACAAAGGTGTCTTTTCAAATTTTCCTTTCTTTTTCCTTCTTTTCCTTTAATTTTTTTAATTTATTAAATTCTTTATTTTTTATTCATTTATTTTCGTATACGCAAAGCAACATTAATTCGTTTTTCCTTCTATGATACTGATTATTTTTGTTTTTTTATCTCTTGCATGCCGTTGATGTATCCATGGGCGGAAATCCCTGACTGACACGTTAACAGAGCAGATCCGATTGCAGTTCACCTCCCTTAAATTTTAAGTGAAAGGAAAACGATAGCAAAAGGAAAACAAAGCGCAAAAAAAATTAACAGTGGTATCACATAAATAAGCGTCACCTCAACTACTACGCCAGCTATATTTTTGTTGGCTTTACGAAGTGCATGATAGCAGGAAAAAACACATAAATATTAGAGAAGTTTCTGAAAGTCCTTCTCTACTTCTTGTACAGTTTGAGAAAGAAATTGAAGAAAAGTAAACATTTCATAAAAATATTTTCCATTAAAATTAACTATGACGTGGGTTTTTTTTACAGTTTGTTCGCAACCTTGACTGTAGTATCACTACTAATTCTGCTTATTGAATATGACAGCAGCTGAACAAGTCGTGGTCTCATTTTTAAAGTTATTCATCTTTGCTTTAAGCTATATGCATTGACATAATTTTATGTGAAGACATCTTCCTTAGCGCATATTTTCCGACCAAGCCAATTAATAGGTGCAGAAATAAGTAAGATAAAATTCATGTTTACATTAAATTATACTTTTTACAAGGCTAAGTAATCGAAATATTCGCTATTATTATTATTATCTGCGGTTTTCCGTCTCTTATCGCGTAGCTTGGTAATGCCCTCGTGTTGGGAACTTCGTCATTTCGAGACGAAATAGTGATCGATCCGTTTTTGTACAACTTCAAATTGTGTGCGCGGCTGATGTCCTGAATATGATTATATCCACCCTAACCAATCTTATTCAGAAGGAGGCAGGTCTGAAGAATAATTCCCAATAGAACGAGAAGCTCTCATTCCAAAATCACCTCCTGGATTGCTTGTCGTGGAGATGAACGGACGTTTGTGAATTTTCATGCTTTCAACATGAAAATTTTACGCACAAAATCTTGCAAACCACTTTTTTCCAGTTTAATTCAGTTAAAAACAACAAGTAAGAATACTGTAGCGAGATATACTTTATCACCACTTCGCTTAACACAATTACACTTTTTAGAATAAGATTGTATATGGTGTAAGGTCGAAAAAGTGATCTGGTCCGAACCGTTTTGAATAGTGCTTTGTCCGTTGGCTAAAACAGCATATCTCGAAAATTGCAATCTGTAGATGAAACGCAAGAAAATGAGTCGGACAAAGGGACAGACAAGTTCAGATCAATCGGTATAAGAAAAGTTCTTTCGATCTCGAATCCTTCTGCGTGTTGCAAATATCCACGCTAACTGGACGTAGGGCCTTAAATGAGACCCATATCTTTACACTTTAACGTATTGCGAACGAGAGCTTGTAAACAACTAAAGCTTATATCGTAAAGACGTTATATTTAACCGAAAATTGAACGTGTCAAGTCCACTTTTGAAGAAACCCATTCCAATTTACAGAATTCATTCATACACCAATTATTAATACACACAATATATATGAATTAATTACACAAATAATGTTTCGAATGGATGCCCGGATGTCTTTTCTTTTAGTCTCGATTTAATTAAGGCATTTTAGTGCTGAGTAATAATTTTTCGACTCAATTCATTCTGTTCTTTTTAGATATCTGTTAAATACATTTACTCAAATTTATATCATGGGACAATTGAGTCTTCGTTTATAGCAAACTCTTGTATCATGCAAATCTATCTTTATTTATAGCATCAGTTGAATTTCAGGATCCAAAAAAAATTAATTGATTCACTTATCAAATTTAGTTCGCGTTCAATTATATTTTATGTATTCATATATTTATATATTTATAATAGGTTTACGTTCCTCATTTCAGCTGGTTCGAGGTTTTTAGTGACTATTTTATTTCACCTTTTGGGATCATATCGCCGAACTAATTCTGATCTTTTATCTAATTACCTAATGTAGTGTAACTTATTTTGTTTTTTTCATAATGTATGCAAAACCCAAAAGAAAGCTTCAGAGACCCTATAAAGTATATATATTCTTCAGCAACGTGAAAATCTGAATTGATTAAGCCATGCGTGTCCGTCTGTGTATCTGTCTGTCTGTGTAGTGTTTGTTGTTGGCACTCTCCTGGCCCCAAAAATGAAGATATTGACTTCAAATTTGATGGCACCATTGGAAGATTCTCAAGCAGTAACTATTGAAAATGGGTCAAATTAGTCAGTGCAATCGGTCATGCAGTGGAGCGTAAACTGATCGCAACTCCATTTTTTTAAATAAAATTTTTCAGAAATTATTAAAGTTAAATGGTTGATTTTTCCACATTTACTTCATAAAACACTCTACTCTTTACGTGCAAAAATGGGAAAGATCGACCGACCATGCCCACACAAATTTATAAGTGATTCAATTTTATTTTTTTCACCGTTTTGAAGATTTATGTCTATTTAGCATAAGTCAAACTTTTACTTTCGTCAAATGAAGATATATTATCTGCCTAAAAATGAGTTCATTGTAAGATGAATCTGGGAGACGCTGAGAGTTGGTGGTTTAAATTTTTCTTAATTATACCAGCGATACGGGTATCAAATAAAAGAATTT